TTTATGATTTGACACACCCTGGTCGATAACTTTAAAACTTTAAAATAAGAAGAGTGCTTATAGTCCAGTAACTGAAGGGTCAAACCTGTAGAAAATTCGCTGATGAGTTCCCACATAGCGCAATTTGTAGGTCATCGCAGGTGTTTTTAAACGAGAAAATCCTTAACGCGTTCTTGGTACCGGAAGGGGCTGAAAATGGACCCCTAAAACCTGGAAAATGGGTTTCCCGCTAATATCAGACTAAATGTGCCAATTAGAGAATTTTTGTTCAGACAAAAAATGAAGAACAGCTCATTATCTACAAAAATAGCCCTTAATAGTTTGCGAGATAATGGCACTCAAAATTCCCCTCATTTCAGCTGCTGCTCTACCTGCAGGAATTCCGCTTTCTATAAATTAACGTGTAAGCGGGCGGACGAATTGTTCCATATCTCGGGAAAAAACTGATATTTTTCGATGATTCAAAGTTCATCGCAATGGGAAAATCCGTATCTACAATTCCATGTGACTTGAAGTCAGTTCGTATTTGCCAAAAATATTTAAAAAAGCGGTCAAAGTTTTTTTCAACAATATTTAGAGACTGCTTCATTAATTTATTCATATTTTCTTTAAAAATAGTCATTTACTTTAATTTTGCCTTTATAATGGGACCTTGGGGGGCCTTGAATGATCTCAGAATTTTTTTTGTCATACTTTTCTTGCGTTTTAATACAAAATTGATTTGTTTATTTACATGTTGTAGCCGATTTCGGAGTTCCATAGAATCTTTGGAACAAGCGCGAATTATAATCTTATGATCCGTTATATGGATTTCCAATGCATAATCTTTTAAAGCTTAGATGGTCTATTTTTCGAATATATTTTTTTATTTTTAGTCTAATAATTTTCAAGTGACTTGAAGTCAGTTCGTATTTGCCAAAAATATTTAAAAAAGCGGTCAAAGTTTTTTTCAACAATATTTAGAGACTGCTTCATTAATTTATTCATATTTTCTTTAAAAATAGTCATTTACTTTAATTTTGCCTTTATAATGGGACCTTGGGGGGCCTTGAATGATCTCAGAATTTTTTTTGTCATACTTTTTTGTTTAATTATTTCTTGTTTCCCGCTCTTTATTTTTTTAGGATTAATAACTAGATCAAAGTGAAGCTTGTATTCTGACCTTTCCATTGATAAAAGTCAATCCCCATATCCGTTCCTGGTTCTAAAAAGGTTGTTACAATTATATACTTCATTTTTACGCTCCCCCTCTGAGATCCATGATATTGTATATAACCTAACCTCGTGTACCCACGCGGCGATAGTTGTCTGCATGTGTTTGTATACAATCTCTGTTTTGGAGTCGTGGGCTTGACCGGATTATTGATGTACTGATGATATTTTTTCATTATTTATTTTGAATTTATTATTTAAAATAAAATAAATATTTTTCATTAAATTAATTCAGTTATAAAAAAAGAATTGTTTAAAGTGAGAAATTTCCACGTTATTCTTGTCTACAAGAAAGAATATTCAAGGATTTTTTTGTTGGAAGCAGAAAATAAGGTTTGTTTTTTTGCCTCAATTTTAAAAACTTGGTGTAATTGTTCTAACGTTGGATCATCTATTTTTTGGTAGCTCTTGGTGTTGTTGAAATGGAAGCGGATTCCGTTCCAGAATGCTTTCTTTGTAAGGAGGGTGTTGTGGATGACGGTGTAAATGTTACTCGTGGGTTAGAAAATTTGATTTGAGTGAGCAAGCAGAAATACAGCTGGAAGAAGAGAGAGAAAGGACGACAGGGGGAAGGGTAGAAATGGAGCAAGAGGGAGTAGGCGACGAGAATACTGTTGACGATGAAGAATATGTATATGATTCTGATGACTTGGAGTGGTTGACCACACCCTAAAGGTTATGTATGTTTTATATCCAACCAATTCTTCCAAATAAATGTAATTTTTTAAAGACTTGCGTATTTTTTCCGAAATCCTGCACCCATATTATTCCGAAAAAGTTTGCAAAAAAAATGCGAAAAATGTTTAGAATGGTTGTATGGTGAATATTCACCACGCTCTAAAAGTTTTCATTTGCTTTTAGCCAAAACAACGGGATTCAAAACCTTGGCACAAGGAAAAATAAATTTTTGCAATTTTCTGGTAAATTTGCAACTCATATTGCACAGAACATTCGCTAATACAATTGAGAGAGCCCAAGCGCTACTTTGCAGAAAAAAATCAGGTGAAATCCGCCAGTAATTGTCGAATAATCGATTATTTCCGAGATTTTCATTTAAGGACTCCGTAATTTAGCGAGAAGAGCAAAAGTGCTGGCGCCATCTGCAATTGGTCTCTAAAGTCCAGAAGATGAAGATCAATGCATTTCCAACCCCATCGAGCGGAAATTTGGCAAGAAACTACCATATCTATTCAATATGAAAATTATGGATTTTTCGAAGTCTGATTTTGCAAAAAATATTGGCATTGCGAAAAAATTGGTAGGGATTATTTTTGTAGAGAATGAGCTGATCTTCATTTTTTGTCTGCACAAAAATTTTCTAATTGGCATATTTAGGCAGATATTAGCGGGAAACCCGTTTTTCAGAGTTTAGGGGTCCATTTTCAGCCCCTTCCGGTACCAAGAACGCGTTAAGGATTTTCTCATTTAAAAACACCTGCGATGACCTACAAATTGAGCTACGTGGGAACTCATCAGCGATTTTTTTTTACAGCTTTCGATCTTTTCAGTCCTTCATTTACTGGACTATTATCGAGGTGCTTATTCCATGTTTTATTTTTTCCAATTGCCTATTATTAATCCAGATTCAAATAAATCAGTTCTTTTCAGGCAATGGGGAATTATGCTCTGAACAGAAAATATATAAATAATTAATTTTTTTTTATTTATCCATTTCGTTCAAGTTCTCCACTCGGATAATCGCTTCCATCCTTTTCTCACATTTAAGAGAAATGAACTATTTCAGAATATTTAGGATCAATCTATTGAATGTTGTATTTATTATATTGGTTGTCAGTTGTGTTGTTTTATTCTAACCTAATCATCTTACAATAAATTACGAGAAAACATTTTACATATCTTTCACATCATATACTAACAACTTACCAGCATATAATAATTTTAAAATTTCTGTTAATAGTAAACAATCAATAAAAATACAAGCTGTAAAAATATTAAATACTTGGGAATATACATCGACTCTCATTTAAAATGGGACATCCAAGTGAATTGTTATAAGAAAATTACGTTTTATAGTATATAAATTTAAAAATTTGTCAAACTTTTTAAACATTCAGTACCTTAAAATACTGTACTATTCACTTGTAGAATCTCATCTGTACTACGGACTTATTGCATGGGGCTCCGCTGGAATAACGCTCCTGGAAAACCTCCATAAATTTCAAAAATCTATTTTAAAATATATGTACAAAAAATCTCGTACTTACCCATCAGAATTACTATACCATGATACCCAAATATTTAACATGTATCAACTATATGCCAAAATAATATTATATGAATATAAAAATAAACAGAAACCTATCATTCACCCGTATAGCACGCGACACAAAACTGATGCAGTTGCTGTGCCTCGCACAGAGAAAAGAATGGGACAAAAATGCTTCACTTACCTAGGGCCTAAATTATACAGTATGGTTCAAATGAAAGGAATAAATTCATTATAATGGAAGTAGTTGGTTTTTCGAAAAAATGCTCGGACAGGTCAATTTTGTTTACTCAAAGCGCAATTTTTGAAATAGAATTTAATTTTCCTTCACTTCTTATTTTTGGGCAGTGACGTCATTGACAATTTTTTTAAATAGTAACCCCAATTTTTTTTTCTTGATTTTGATAGATCTTGCAATTTTCTACTCGGAAATATAATATTTTAAATATCTGACATAACAATTTTTTTTGAATAAAAGTCATTTAAAGATCAGATACATAAATTTTATTTTATTTTGAAACACAATAAATAAATAAAAGATTATTTGTAATTAAGTGCTTCATCTAAAATAATAATAATAATAAAAAGAATTTAATGACAATTTCACAAATTCTTCTTTATTATTATTATTATTAATAATATTATTATTATTTTGTTTAATTAAGCACTTAATTACAAATAATTATCTTTTATTCATTTATTGTGTTCTCAAAATAAAATAAAATTTATGTGTCTGATCTTTAAATGACTTTTATTCAAAAAAATTGTTATATAAGATATTTCAAATATTATGTTTCCGAGTAGGAAATTGCAAGATCTAACAAAATCAAGAAAAAAAAATTGGGGTTACTATTTAAAAAAATTGTCAATGACGTCATTACCCAAAAATGGGAAGTGGGGGAAAATTGAATTCTACTTAAAAAATTGCGCTTTGAGTAAACAAAATTGACCTGTCCGAGCATTTTTTCGAAAAACCAACTACTTCCATTATAATGAATTTATTCCTTTCATTTGAACCATACTGTATAATGAATTCAAAAAAATAAATTCCTATAATCTCTTCAAAAATAAAATTAGTCACTGGATTTTACAAATACCCGTCACCAAAGTAAAACAATTTTTAAATTCAAATATTGCTTGTTATAGTCTGAAAATCTTTTAAAAGTCTCTCAAAAAAAAAAAAAATGATAAAAATGTTCATAAATTTGCTGATATCTGTAAATATTATTTTATGTTTTATTTTTTATATTACTTACTTTACACTTTATTAATTACTGCCCCATGTTACTTGTTTAAATTAATTTAAAATGAAATATATAATTCAAACTTATAGATAATAATGGAAATGAAAATATTGCCCACGCTCAGGCCTTCCTTTTGTGGGTGTTTTCATCTTTATTTGCTATCTTAAAGTAAACACTGAATAATTACTGTATATTTATATGTATAATAAAAAGAAAATGTGTTCATCTTATTAATGTATGTTAGTAAATAAAAATTATTATTATAATTATTATTATATTAAAGTGCAATTCCAATGCTGTATTTTTTTACATTAAAGGTGATAAATGAGGACCCCCTGAGTCCAAGGCTAGAAATTCACGCTTATGCAGGCCCAATGGACCGAAAAGAAGCCCAACAATTCAGAAAAACTTGGAAAACACCACCTAGAAGTTTAAATTTTTCTCTACCTGGCGGAAAACAAGTAGACAATATTAACGCCGTCTCTCTAAAATATAAGGATCCCAAAAAGGGTCTAGAAAGAATAGGCAAACGGTTGGCCAACACATATGACGTAAATTGGAAAGAATATTGGCCGTTTCTGGACTGTTTCATCGATCTCGGTTCAGAGGAAGGACTGAATCTCTTGGAGGCTTTTCTGGCCGAAAAATATGTAGCTCTCAACAACTCTGTGATGGAAGAATTGAAGAAAAGTTCGTCAGAATTAAATGGTATTGATGCATTAAGTCCCATATCTAACTTGTGCACAGTCTTTTCTGCATGTCGATTAAATGACAGTACCAAATCACACGAATCCATCGATGATAAAAAAATGGACCCTGGTTCGATCAATTACATAGATAAGGCGTGTCAAGTGTTCGCGAATAGAATCTCCAACGACATTCTTTACATACTGTGCAATGAGGATAACATTCTGCAAGTGTTAGAGACGCAAGTAAAGCAGCTAGAGCTGCTCGTGACTAGTTATATGGACGATTGTAGATTTACTTTGATTAATTTCCAAAAAATTCATTCTCGTTTAGGTATATTGATCGGGCAGAAGTTGTATAATAACTTAAAAGAAAACGTGCGCGGATTTCTATGCTCGAAATTGGAAACTATGCTCGATAATTTGACCAAAAGTATCGATTGTTTTTCATCGGATGACGAAAGTCACAATTTAGATACAGCCGAAAATCGTAAACCCACTATACACAAGCGACAGTTGATATGTTTGCTACATTACGTACTGAATTTCTTGTCCCAGAACTACGAGAATAAACAGGCGTTAGATGAGGGCGGGTGCGTTAAAGATTGGGATATGGCAGAGGCTTGCACGTGTGTCTATCACTTGAGAAGGGCGAAAAAGAACAGCGTTTCGAAGAGTAATAGTTTTAAAAATAGTTTGAAGGTATTCGGTTCTGCTAGCTTCGATGAGGGTCCAAGGAGTTTGTCTTTTAATGAAGATACTGATCCAAATTGTGGTATGTATGACTGTAAATTTTTTGTTGACCATGGGAAGTAGACGAGGGGCGTCTCACTACCCCAAAAATGTACGTAATGGCTCCTACCAAGTACTGCCAGATCCTGGTTGATCCTGCTTAGTCTTTATTTTATTTATTTTATTTATTTACGGAAAATCTCCTTTTACAAAATAATTATTGGGTCCTATGATTGAACGTTTACGTTATCCGTAACGTACATGTTAGGCCGAGTTTTAACAGTAACGAGGCAAGTTCGTATGATGGAAAACTTTTTCCAACACATTACTGTTATTTTCCGCCTGTTATGTTCTAATTTAACAGTTTTCCATCATATGAACTTGCCTCATTACTTTTAAAATTTGGCCTAACATGTACGTTACGGATAACGTAAACGTTCAATCATAGCACCCATTATCAGTAGATATTTTAAACATAACCTAAAGTATAACACAAAATAGAAAAAAAAAACTTAAATATCTTAAATATCACAAAAAACTTAGAGCTAAAGCTAACTCGATAAGTACTCCCTCAGCTGATTTTTAAACCTAAGCCGACTAACTCCCAAAAGATCAGTGTGTCTGTTAATTTCATTTCCTTGCCTTTGAAATTTGGTTAAAGGACTGTTGAGTCCGTAGTTCGTATGATAGAAGCTAATTGAAAATAATGGTTTCTCTCTAATATTTATGTTGTTTAATCTAAAGTTTATTAGCTCCAACATATCCGGACAAGCTATATTCCCTTCCAGGAGGCTATAAAGAAATAAAAGATCATTACTAATTAACGTTTTCTCAACTGACAATAAGTTTAAATGGTTATTAAGCTCCCTCTTAGAAAGATAAGGCATATGTAACCTCCACTGACAAGTTCTTAGAAACCTATTTTGAACTGCTTCTAAATTTAAAATATGAGTCCGGTAATGAGGTGACCAGACTGGTGAAGCATATAAGAGGATGCTGCGCACTAGTGTTAAGTAAAGGGTTTGGAATGTAGGCCCAGAGAATTCCCTAGAGTTCCTGGTTACAAATCCCAATGTTTTCAGAGCTCTACTAATGATGGATCTCATGTGTGGGACAAATGTCAAAGAACTATCGAAGATCACATCTAGATCCTTGATTTCACTAACTTTCTTCAAAACAGTAGTATTGATATTATAAAGAAAATTTATAGGGTTTTTTGATCGTGTAAAGGTGATTTAAAAACATTTACGTGGATTTAAAGACATATCATTATTTAAAGCCCAATTAATATAATAGTTTATATCATCCTGTAACTTCAAACAGTCAGGCAAGTTTAAGATTTCCATGAATAATTTCAGGTCATCGGCGAATATTTAAATCCTGAAGCCACATCGTTAATAAATATATTAAATAGTAATGGTCCCAAATGAGATCCCTGGGGGACACCTGAACTTACATTTATTGGAATCGAAGTAAAACTTTTAACTTTGACATATTGAACCCTGGATTGCAGGTAACTTTCTAAACATTTCACTAAGTTGTTTGGAAACCCGAATTTCACTAGTTTCCTTAAAATAAAATCATGGTTCACCGTGTCAAATGCCTTCGAGAAGTCAGTGTAAATTGAGTCAACTTGACACCCCCCTCGAAGGCAGAAATTATATAATGTTCGTGGAGCAGTAAATTTGAATTAGTAAACTTACCTCCCATAAACCCATGCAGTTGTTCAATCAAAATGTTTTTGACAAAGGTTTGTATAACAATAATTCTAATAATTTAGGTATTGCAGAAAGTAAAACTACAGGGCGATAGTTAACTATGTCATCTTTTTGACCATTTTTAAATATGGGAGTAATGAAACTATCACGCCATTTTGCAGGAAACTGTTGTAATTCCAAAGAGGAATTAAATAAAAATTGTAGTGGTTTGGAAAGAGTGAATTTACATTTTTTCAAAAAATAAGCAGGGATTCCATCTGGACCATAACTCAATTTATCTTTAAGGGAGTTAATACCATCATAAACATCACTTAAGGAAACGTGTATAAAGGGAGTATCAGGCTGGTTAAAAGCATTATAATGAAGGTTTGGCTCATCTACAATATCTTTCTTATAAACAGTGGAGAAATGCGTAGCAAACAAATTACTGATGTCTTTCCCATTATCAGTAATTGTACCATTATAATACATTCTATTGGGAATACCATGGTCTTGTTTCAAAGAAATAATGTGGTTCCAGAAGTATTTTGTATTTTCACAAACCTTCAGATCTATACCAGAAATATAATTTTCATAATTTAGTTTTGATAAACCGAAGGTTAGAAAAATTTAAGTAATCAACAGCTCAGCGAGTACTTTTGAACACAGCAGCTGCCTTCTTGCGAGAAATCAACTTTTTAAGTCCACCTGAAAACCATCTAGGTTATACTGATAGTTTATATCTCCTAACAGGTACAAATAAAGCTAATGCCAATTTTAAAATCTGATAAAAAATTTCAACACTAACATTAATATCATTTATTGACTAAAATACCCTCCCAATTAATTGGAGCAAAATAATTATTTAAAGCTACATAATCCGCTTCTTTAAAGTCATAAAAAACAATGTCACAAGATAAGGGACTAATATCACTGACAGTTAATTCACATGAAATTGCAACATGGTGGAAGTTATTAGGCAATAAGGTGTCTACAGCTGTCTCGATAGTAACCGAATTCCTAGCGTCATTGTTACAAAAACATAAGTCGAGGAATATACCATGCTGATTTGGAATTCCATTGGCCTGACTCAAATTCAAGTATTCTGCAGGGGAAGAGACAGAGAGCTGGTAAAATATGAAATGTTCCTATTTTAAACTTTCCTTAAAAATCCTGAAATTTAATTGGCCACTTAAACATCACACATCTGCATCTGTACTGCCAAAAATCCTGCCTGTACCTGCCTAGTCCTACCATGTTCTGCCTACAATTTGTACACCTACTGTCAGTTTGGCTAAGTCCTGTTTGATCCTGCCACTATCCTGCCTGCTCTTTCTAGGTCCAGCCGTGGTCCTGTCTATAATTTGTAAGCCTACTGTCAAAGTGAGACACCCCTCGGAGGTAGATTTATTAGTGATAAATCATTTTGTTCAGTGTAAATTCAGAGTTGATATAAATCATCTAAATGTACGGAATGTCAATATCTTCATACATGGTGATATTAGAAGTGACAATACTGTATAATGCCCAAAAACGAATGGCCCCAATTTTAGCATTATATTTTGAAATGGGTCATTTTCAGACCATTTCAGAGCCTAAGTATTAATATTTTCATATCTACATGTATTTCAATAACACCTTGTATAATCGACATAAATTTCAAGTATTTTTGTTATAAATTTTTCAAGACCAAGTGTAAGACATCCATTAATAATATAATTGAAACTGGAGAGCTTTAGCTCCATCTCAACTATGTAGTTCATTAAATTTTTAACTCTGAAATTCAATACATTTTGAAAAGAGACATAATAAAAGAATAATTTTTCTATGGTTCTTCCCATTTCAATTAAATAAAAAAACATTTCGTATTATTTGCCAGAAATTTCCACAAAATTGGATCATATACCCCAAAATATACTTTCACGTAATCTCTTTTGTGTAGTTCCAAATGATTTTAACTTAAGCGGACTTAGCACACGGATAGAAATGAGTTCTGATGAAAGCGATTCGGATGAGGATGAAGAAAACTTTTATACGCCTCCTGCCAGTCCCAGTTTGTTACAAACGGAATTAGATTCGGAAGATGAATTCATGGATTCTGAATTGCCAAAGTACGACGTATTTATGGAGGGGTAAGTTTTTGTCATTAATGTGAGATATTCAATAAATAATACACTAAATTTCGAAGAATTATTTGGTATATTAACAACTAACTCGATTACAAACGAAAAATTGAAGTGGAACAATCAAGCATTAAAAAAAATAAACTGCTTTTTCTGAAAAACCAAAGCAAAAAGGGTTCTAAGAACACCTCCATACACTTTAATAATACGGTGGTTAGCAATAATTTACTCCAATATACCACAGTCTTCCCCACCAAATAAGAGGTAATGAAAACTTTCAAATTGCCAAATTAATCAAAATAAAATACATTAATTTATGCTTTTAAGTATAAGTTAATCTATCTGGTTGTTTTTGGACTCCCTTATTTTTAACAACCTGTGATTCATTTTCGACATCTAAGGGATTACAAATGTTACCTTCAGGGAAATTTAGATTATAACTATTATCCACATTAGTAGGTTCACTAGTCTTGGCAAAGACGATGTTATTTAAACCACTTTGAATTTGAGTTTTACTTATTTGATTTGGGTGACGTTTCCAGGTACCATTCAACTCGAGGAATATCAACAATGTAAGTGCATCTTTCTATAATCTTTTTAATATTACCCAAAATCCAAGTAAATTTATTTGTTAATCGCTGATCTTTAACCAAAAATAGCAAACATTCTATGCTTCTTCCTCCAAAACTTTTAATTGGTTTTTCTTGTTTTTCTTTGTTTTTTAAATTTAAAAATTTATAAACATACGAGTATAAGCCCTATTAGCCTTGTCAACACATACAATTTAAAAATAATGCTGCAAATAAGGTAAAAATGTAATACAAATTAAAATTTAAAATAGGATAAAACATCTTCTCAGCAGGCAAACTTGAAGCCCGACAATTTCGGAGAGGGGAATACCACCACCATATCCGACTGTTTACTAGTTCAAAAATGAAAAAATGTCCTTTTAGCACCTTGAGGAATACACGTAGATAATTTACATGAAATTGAATCTACAATTCCCATTCGTATTTCGGCAAATACGGAAATATTTTAACCTACAAGGGTACTCGCAATTGTATAAAAACGGGAATTCCTGGGCTCTTCGAAACGTTCCCAGGCGGAAATTAATTAAAATATACATTTTTAAAATTAATTAAAAATAAAATTTAGTGACTTCATCACACCTTGCCCAAACATTAGCATTTTCTGAGTATTGTGTATGTTCTTCTCTCAACAAGTGAGGATTTTCGTAAGACCAGTAGCGACAATTTCTATCAAAATCGTTTTCCAAGGGCTCCTGAGTTGGTACCAATTTATAGGGATCCATTTTATATTATTTTGATATTCGAGTGATCGATGTATGGTTTTAACACCCAGTGCGGCTCGTAACTTAAATATTGGGGTTCACAGTGACAGAATGTACAGATTTAGGTAAAAAAATGCAGTGTTTTAGAAAGGTATATTGTAAACATTAAATATCTGTACTGAGATCTATATTATGTCATTGTGAACCCCCAATATTTTGGTCACAAGCCGCTACTGCTAACACCATCTAACTGGTTGCGTGTCGACTCGAAGTACGAGTATGTGGATCTCCTCAAATTCAAGTTTTACGTCCAATTTCTTATCATTACTTATTGAATTCGAAGGTATTTTTAAAACTCTCCAAATTGTTTTTCAATTTTACTATTTTTTCCTGGAGATATAGGTGTCAAATCGGGAAATCTTGCCTGAAATAGGTGAACAATCTCTGTCTGTGTTTGTGTTTTATCTCCATAAGCAATCCTTTGTAAAATTTGTATTTTATGCGTTCCTGTTAAATAAACCATGTTTCTGATCTGTAGTTAATAAATTCAAATGACATGTATAACACTGACAACAATTAATGTCATGTGTTTACAATCATGCAGCAAGTTGCTAAAGTGTTTTAAATGAAATTGAGAGGCATTCACAAAAAATAAAATAAACTATAGAAATGTTCATGGCTCTATTTTGTATTGGTTAGAAAAAGATAATTGCTGAAGTAAATTTTCCTCTTAATTATAATTTTGCTTTTTTATTATGAATTATGAAATGCCAATAAAAATGTAAAATTCTATGACATATAATTATGAGATGTAAAATAAATTCCATACAAAACTTTATATTATTATATTTACTAAAAATTCCCAAGAAAAATAAATCAAATTAATGGCAATACAACAATAATAATTTTCCTACACTTCACCCTACATGATTTAAACCCCAAGAAGAGCTTGTGAGTGGCAAGAATAGTTATTATTATTTGCTATGGCACTCTGGGCCGACTTAAAGATAACTGATAGTGCCATTTTATTTGCAGGTGAGCAAAACCCGGATAACCCGACCTACCATCATTATTTGTATTATATTAGTTTATTTCCATACAAAGTACAATCTATTTTTACAAATGTTTACTAGTTTCTATAAAAAATACTCCTAATTTCACGAAAATGTTATTCTCTAAAGAGTATCTAATGAAAAACAAATTCTAGTATTATAAATGGTCTCCAAATATTTATTATCTTTAAGAAAGTTACTCTAATATCACAAATATTACATTATTATTTAAGTGTACATTAACTATCTTCGGTTAAAATAATGAAAATCAGAAATTGCAAAACAAATAATTCATGTACTTCATTTGTAAAAACTAATGCCTAATAAATTTTCTAAATAAAAAAAATATTCTTCTTGAATCTTGGGAAATAAAATAAAAGACAACCATCCATATAAACTGAAACAGAAAAGAAATTAAATTCAGTAACTTCAATCATTTTGTTTATCTTTTTGGTCTTTAAAATATTGTCACAGCCCTCATACTAGGTCTGTCTGGGTTCTTCAAAAATACATTGAGAACTATCAGAAGACTAGTTGACCGGTGGACAGTTTAATAGTTGTATGCGACAAACAATTTGGAATTAAACTGGTTCTCGGACAGTTTGCATCGAGTTTTAAAGAAACCTGAACAAACCTACATTATAATAGTTTTGAATTAAATTGTTGAAATATCTTTGATTCTGAAATTTTGACTGCAGTTTAAATGTGACATTAATTATAGGGTCTTTTTTAATTTGCAAATTTTACTTTTCTGTTTTCTATTAAAAAACTTTTTCTTTCTAATAGATAAACTATTAACTAGAGTTTCATTAATTTTATTTAAAAATCCATTATCGAAACGTTCCTTATGTTAGATTCAAATAATTCATTTGATGACTGACCGTCTTTGAAATTTTGATCTATATTATTAAAATGTAACACAGGTAATCTGGAGGTGTGATAACAACATTACTAAGTATTATTATCTTTGGTGTATCTGGTTTTGAGGGCTATTAATGAACATAGAAATAATATTTGGCAAAAAACCCTGTCAGAAATCAATCCAAATGACAATTCACTGTGGAAAGTAGTGAGACGGTACAAAAAACCATACTCACTGCTACCCACTTTGAAACAAGGACAAGACTTATGCACAACAGACGCCGAAAAAGGACAAGCCTTCGGCGAACACTTTCAAACGATATTTAGAAATAATAACATTAATAATGATGTCCAAAATAATATCGAAAACTTGGTAAGGGAACTAAGCACTTCTGAGCCGGCACACGTGCCACATTCATTTTTTACCACTCCTAAAGAGGTTGGGGAAACTATTAAACGTCTGAAAAATAGAAAAGCTCCGGGCCCGGATGACATCAGCAATATATTACTCAAAAACCTCTCAAGAAAGGGGGTTGTACAACTTAACTATATAATAAACGCAATCTTCAGGCTGCAACACTATCCTAGCAGCCTGAAGATCGCAAATATCATCCCAATATTAAAATCGGGAAAAAACCCGAAAAACATTGACAGTTATCGACCCATTTCGTTGCTTAACACAGTAGCAAAAATAGTCGACAAAATCATACTAAACAGACTCAACAAAATAGAAGACGAACTAAAAATTATTCCGCGGGAACAGTACGGTTTCAGAAGCGGACACAGTACCGTGGCACAGGTTATTAGAATCGTACATAGTGCCAAAGAGGCAACAAATAATAACCTGCAAACGGTACTAGTGGCTTTAGGTAGTGAAAAAGCTTTCGATACCGTCTGGACCTGCGGATTAATTTACAAAATGCTTGCGAGTGATTTTCCCGTTCATATTGTAAAAATAATACAATCATACATAACGGACAGACAATTTAATATAAAAATAAACAAGACAATAACAGGACCCTTCACTGCGCAAGCGGGAGTACCCCAGGGCTCAGTACTTTCGCCCCACTTGTACACCATTATGACCCATGACATGCCAATGGGTGATAATGGGGTACAAACGGCACTGTACGCCGACGACATCTGCCTTTTCGCAAATAACAGATCGGCAGAGATAGCAGTAAGAAAGCTGGACAACCATATAAGCAGGAAATTAATCCCCTATCTAACACAAAATAAAATGAAAATCAATGCTGCAAAAACTGAAAGCATGCTAATCACTAAAAGGCGAAGCCAGGGCATTCAAACCGCCCTGAGAGTCGGTGAACAAGAAATACCGACCACAAACAAATTAAAATACCTCGGCTTTCAGCAAATTGCACAGAATAGATGCCTTCGGCTGGCGCTGGGCTACGACCGTTATGCCAGGATTATAGACATGCATAGACAAATAGACACACCAATGATTAAAGATTACATATTAAAAACAGCCGAAAATTTCTACAAACGGTGTCTTCCCGATGATGTCAGGGATAATATCCTGAACATTCACCGGGGAGATGGCGTGCGAAGAAAACACGGCTGTATACATGCAAAACTCGACATTTACAGACTAAGACGCTAGACTACACCATCCTTCCTCAGTTTCAGTTTAAAAATCCTTTATTCAATATATACATTATCTACATTACATTTACAAGCTCCATTTATAAAAAGAAAAAATAATATATGAAATAATAACAGTAAAATAAAACATAATATTCTTCCTTCTGAATCCTTGCAGGGATTGGCTGATGTTCGTGCCC